AAAAAGAAAAAAGAAAAAAAAAGAAAAAAAAAAAGAAAAGAAAAGAAACACACACAAAAAAGAAAACCTGCGCTATTCAATAATCAGAGGAGGATCCAAAAGACGTTTTCAAAACGTAAAGGATTTGTACTTGTGGATCTCAAAAAAAAAAAAAAAAAGTGAAAATTTATCTTTTCATTTGTCTGCACATCTTAGTGAGAAACCAAGGTAAAGGGACTTTCTATCCAGTCCCTCCCAGCCTGAATGGTGCTGTTTCTATATTGGGGATAAGCTTGCCAAAAGGAGCTCCAGTAAGTTTTCCATCATCAGGAAAGAGACTATTTAGCCCTGCACTGTTGAAAGATTCATTGCAGGAAGGTGGAGCTGCATTGGTTTGCAATGTTGTTTTTAGTTGACTCTTAACAAGAGGTTGTTTCCTGGGTCTCTTCTAGCATGTACTGTAGCAGGCTTTGGTTTTGTTTGGTTGAGATCCACCTTCTATCAAGTCTGAAGCGGTTAAAAATGGGTTTTTGAATTCCTGTTTAAAAAACAATTTATAAAAGCATTGCAACAAGGTATACCTCTATTTTGCCACAAAGCGTCTCGGGATTGTGTTTGAAATGTGTCTGTTCAAGAACCTCCCCCTCCCCCAGAGATGTGTATAGTCATTGATTAAAACGACTGTTTTTTTCTCCCTCTCTCTCTTTCTCTTTCTCTTTCTCTCTCTCTTTCTCTCCTTCTCTTCTCTTCTCTTCTCTTCTCTTCTCTTCTCTTCTCTTCTCTTCTCTTCTCTTCCTCATTCTCTCTCTCTCAATAAAGAGAAAAACGTTTAAAAAAATGAAAAAGAAAAAAAAACAACCCTTTTTGTTTGCTCTTGCATTGCAAAATTATAAAGTAATTTATTATTTATTACCGGAAGACTTGCCACTTTTCATGTCATTTGACTATTTTTTTTTGTTTGCTGAAGTAAAAAAAAAAAAAAAAAAAAAAAGAAAAGGTTGTACCGTGGTCTTTGAATTATATGTCTAATTCTATGTGGTTTTGTCTTTTTTTCTTTCTTAAATATTATGTGAAATAAAAGCGCCATATGTAGAATTATTATATCTTCAGGACTATTTCACTAAATAAGCATTTGAAATAGAGAAAATAATAATATTAATATTAAATAATGAACAAAGTTCCCTCTTTTAAATATTTACAAGTTAGCAGCTAAAATACCTGAAATAAAATATTGCATGCGAAGCAGGTCGTTAGTGAATAAAAGGAGTGTAATATTTTATTGCAAGTATTAACGACCAGCTTGTAAATTTCCGTTTCAACAACTATATCAGGGCTAGCTGGATGCCTTAGCTTTCAATCGATAACGTTAGAAACTCTCTTGTTCCTTGCCCCATTCCTTGCCCTTAAAAGTGATATTACTCTAGGCGTGATCTGACGTAATGTTAAGACATCTAAATAACTGAGAGCTCAGGTTTTTTGCTGAGTTCTATTCCTTTAAAAAAATAATAAAAATAAAGTGCTGTATACCAAAGCCTCGTTGTTGAGATTGTTGAAGTGACCTGTACTTTAAATATAAGCTCCTGATAAAAGGGACGCTTTTTGCTTAACAAGTCAAGTATGACCATTATTTATCAGTGTCTGCTGTCAAAACGATTGAAAAATGCTGCAGGAGGAAAAAGTTGAGGGGATATTGCTGTGAAATTGCACGAATAGTGTTCCTTATTTTCTGTCGACTTCCCTCTGTTCACTCCCTCTTTTCTTCCTTTTTTAATTTGCGGGGGAGAGGGTGGTGAAAGCTAGAAACGTGGGTGATTTCTTGGGGAAAAGTAGAAAGAAGAAAAAAAAAAACAACACAGGAAAGGTTGTTTTTGCTCGAATCCAAGTGCTCCCTAGTGCTCCAGGCCAGCACAAGACAAAGGGTCTCTTTAAAAAACCCTTAACAACTGGAATATACAGAGATTTTTAAGTCTGAAAAAGACAAGTTGGTTTGCATGGCAGTTACTCCAAACCCTAATGTTTTCTTAACATAACCTTCTTTTTCCTTCCTTCTCACCATCTTAGCCCACCCTGAGTAAGTTCAGCTATAGAGACAAACCATTTCGACAGTAGAGAACATTAAAAAAAAGTTAAAAGTCTAATACAAGGATTTCAATCATCCTGATTAGAAACTGGATTCATTTTGTATGCTCAAGTGTAATAGATTTTTGAGTACTTGATAAATATTTAAATAAATATGAAATCTACCTTAAACTGTGTGACCAGTAACCCTTGTGTTTTCATGCAGGATCAGAGGCTTGGTACGACGCTTCGGGGGGCGGGAGGGAGAAGGGGTTTCTGCCCCGTGGTCTAACGCGTAAGTTGTTTGAGCCGCTTTTACTGACCGGAGAGAGGGGAAATGGGGACTTTGGGGATCGAGTCTCCTGCTCGGGAAGGGGGGTTGTCTTTATTTGGCGCTGACAACCTGTAAAGTCAGGGCAACACGGGGCCTT